ATCCACCGGCCCGTGCCATATGTCGGTTGCCCGACGAAATTCGGGGACACCATTCCGGTCATGTTTCGGGTGGTGCGGGTGTACCCGGTCGGCAGAGCCGTGCAGAGTTGTGGGTTTAAAACCAGAAATGACGACCTCGCAATCTTCTATTAAAAACGAAAACTTAAAAAAGGATCTGGACAATGATATCTGTATGACGAACTCGGCAAGTCTCAAGGAAAAGAGCGAGCTGGAGATCCTCCCCAGCCCGCAGACGGAGGAGACGGTAAGAACAACTTCCGTCATGAGCCAACCAGGCTCAAATAATGCGGCTAAGAGAGGGAAGCCTGGAAGCTCCTCTCGCAACGTAGCCACGAGAGGGAGAAGCACGCGCACAATAAGGCGAAGTGCTTCAAAGAGGAACAAGGAATCTCCGTCGAGGTCCAGATCCAGGACACCGAACAGGAAGGCAGAGTCCACGTCTGCCACCACGTCGCCAGAAAGACCGGCGTTACCCCCGGTATCCAGATGGTTCATCCCCGTCAAATCTGATGAGGAAACCGATGAGGAGGCATTCAAAGCCAAGGCCCTCCGTGGAAGAGGGAGACCAAAAGCGACTGGGGAATACGACCTCAAAAAAGAGTTCATGGCAAGAAAGGAGGCTCTCCAAACTAAAATGAAAGAGGAAGAGCTCCTTAAAGCAATGGAGAATCCGTCCACGTCATTTGCAAACCTGACGAACAACCGCAAATACGTGGCGGAAATTAATAAATAAACGGAGAGCATGGAAGACGCTCCGACAAACGATCTGGCAGCATCGGTACTACATGCGGCAAAGAAAGTGTTGGAGATCGCCATTAGGTCGGGGAATATCAAGGGGACATATATAAAGGTTCTCAGGGATACGGCAGCTGCAATAACAGTAGGGGCCATCCTGCTCAGTAAAAGAACAGCGGAAGGAGGCGGAGAGAGTGCGGAAATCCTAGAAGAAATAAGAAGGGAACATCAGAAGCTCCGCACTTCTCACGAAGAGATGAAGAAGGAGGTGGAGAAATTGAAGGATTCCCTCCGCAGAGCCAGGGAGGCAACACCACCAGTGCCGAAGAATCTGTCTCCTCCACCTCCCCCCACCCCAACTCCAGTATTCGTGAAGGAGGAGGAGGTGAGGAGATGTATCCATCCCATAAAGGATGGATACATATCCCCCCCAGCGAGGACATGGAAGAGAAACTGCCTTTGGCGGGGGTGATAGAAATTCAAAAAGGGCTGGTCAAAACAAACCTGAAAGGACCTGGCCCCAAGCGGACTTATAAAGAGGTCGTCAAAGCCGGGAGAGAGCAGGCCAAAGTCGGACCCACAATAAAGAAGGATATTCTGATCACTAAGAAGATCAGAATTGAGGAACAATGAGCACCAGAGGAATCGGAGGCATAAGCTCTCGAAAGGAAGGTGGCAGCAATTGTAGCCAGGTTGATGGGCACAACAGCGCCACAGAGAAAGGAACGGCAAGGGGAAATAACATCCCTACCGGCAGAGCAGCCAAAGCCGCAGAGAAAGGAGAGAAAGAGAAGAAAGGAGGTAAAGAGGGAGGAGAGACGGCGAAGCCAGCAGGAAAGAAAGAGGCACGTAAACCACAGCCTCCTCCTCACCCCAGGATTGAAAGAGAAGAATTCCCAGACCTTCCCAGCAAAGGACCGGTGGAAACAAAACCCACTGTGGTAGGGGAAAATTGGGTTGAGGTGGTGGGGAGCAAAGAAAGGAAAGGAAAGAGACGGAGAAGACTCGAATCCAGCCCCAAAAACCTGTAAGGAAAACAGGGGAAAAGGAAGAGGAGGGGGAACGAAGGAAAAAACAAAGAAAAAAGGGAAGACGCAGGATACCCAACACGGCTGCTGTGGCGATCACAGCGGAAGGCAGGAGGTATAAGGAGCTGTTGATGGAGGCGAAGGCTAAAGTCAACATTGAAGAGCTTGGGATCTTCAAGACGAGGACGAGAACGGGAGTAACCGGTGCTCTAATCTTGAAGATCCCAGGGGAAAGGAGATGCGAGCAAGCGGATCTGCTCGCTGAAAAATTGAGAGGTGTAGTGAAGGAAAGGGTTAAAATTAGCCGCCCCCAGAAGATGGGGGAGTTGAGACTGAGGGGACTCGAGCCGTCCACAATTCAAGAGGAGATTGTGGAGGAAGTAGCAAAGGCTGGAGGATGTGAGCCCAGATATGTGAAGACGGGGAGAATCAGGGTGACTTCGAACGGATATAGGTCGACATGGGTCCAGTGCCCCCTACCTGCCGCAAGAAAGGCGGCAGAAAAGGGGATATTGGCCATAGGTTAGACCCAAGTTAGGATGGAGACGTTAGAAACGAGGCCTCTCCAATACTACAGATGCATGGAGAGGGACCACGTCCAGACAAAATGTAGCAGTGAGACGGACAGGAGCAGGAATTGCTATAGGTGTGGAGAAGAAGGACACCTGGCCAGGAAGTGCGAGTCCCGGGCCAAATGTCAACTGTGCGCGGCAGGAGGAAAATCCTCCAACCATCGCATGGGAGTACCGGCAATCAATCCCCCTAAGAAAGGGAAGAGAAAGGGGAGGAAGGTGATGACTGGTGAAAGACCACCGATAGCAGCAGCGATAGTAGCAACAACATCGACAGCAACAACGACAACACCTTCCTCCCTAGAGAAGGAGAAAGACGTAGGAGAAGCAAAGACGGAGGTCACCTCCCCCATCTCCCCGTTCAAGGACCCACTTCCTCCCAACGCACGGAGAGAAGAGGTGATGGACGTAGAGAGAAGAGGGGAGATGAGACGGCAAGGAGAGTGACGGGCTGGAGGAGCCTGGTGAAAAGGTCGTTCTAGTAGAAGAACTATAATGGCTACCCGGCTCCTCCAAGCCAACCTGCACCGCGCTCGCGAAGCAATGGCTCTGTTTGAGCACACCATGGCAGAGCGCGGTGCAGGGTTGAGCATAGCAGCGGAGCCCTACCACGTCCCCAAGAACCACCCAAGATGGTTCGGGGACGATCTGGGTTCCGTCGCTATTACTTGGAAGGCGAGCAACCATTCCCCCCCCTCAACTCGATTGGGTGGGGGACAAGGGTTCGTCGTGGCCAGGTCGGGCTCCTTGATAGTGGTCAGAGTCTACCTCCCCCCAGCAAAAAGCCTGGACCTCAACTACAGGTCCAGGCTCCGAGAAATCGGGAGGGTCGTCAGACGGCATCTCCCAGGGCCTGTCATCATTGCCAGGGACTTCAACGCTAAATCAGCGTTATGGGGTTCCCGGGATGGTGAAAAGCGGGGGGAGGAGGTAGAGGAATAGGCCGTAGAACTAGGTCTGCATCTATTAAACGAGGGAAACAAGTCTACCTTCGTTGAGTCGCAGGGGGAATCGATCATCGATCTTACCTGGGCGACCCCTGCGGCCGGCAGAAGGGTGCGGACCTGGAAGGTGGCAGAGGAACTAGAGTCCATGTCTGACCATATGATCATAGAGATGGAACTCTCCGCTACCCCCAATGGATTACGGCCCAGAGCAATAAATAGGCCCCGATCAGCCAGATGGACCTTAAGCCAGCTCAACAAGGAAGAGCTGGACATTGTCCTGGAAGCGACCACCTGGCCACGATGGGTGGAGGGGCAGGACCTCAACTCGGCGGTGGCCGAGTTTACGGGTCTGATGACGCAGGTGTGTGATCGGGTCATGCCCAAAGTGAGGTCCTGCCCCAGAAGATCCGCCTGGTGGTGGACCGAAGAGATTGCCGAGCTCAGGCGCAAAACGGTCCACCTCAGGCGGGTTCGCCTGAGATGGAATCTTCAGAAGGGCTCCCGATGGCAAGAAACCCCGAGAGGAAACCTAGGCTGCCTGAATCGATTTTTGTTTAGCTCCGCGAGCATTGCACAAGGCGATAGGAGCAGCCAGGGGACAAGGATGGGACAACCTCCTCAGATCGCTGGATGCGGATACGTGGGGGCGTCCACACAAAGCGGTCATGCAGAAACTAAGGCCAGGGATGCCCCCACTGACGGAAACGCTGGACCCCCGGTTCCTGGAGCGGGTCATGGGGACTTTATTCCCAATGAGGGACGGGATTCTCCCCATAGACCCGTACATAGCTCCCCCTCTGGATCAACAGAGGGAGGTTCCGGGGGTCACGGAAGAGGAGGTGGCCGAGGCCATCAGAAAGGTCAAGAGCCGCAAAGCTCCAGGACCAAATGGCATACCCGGCCGTGTATTCACCTTTGCCTCGGGGGTCATCGCGGGCAGAATGGCCGAGATATTCTCGGTCGCCATGAGGGAAGGGAAGTTCCCCCCAGTCTGGGGGAGGGCCAATGTGGTCTTCCTCCGTAAAGAGGGCAAACCGGAGGACTCCCCCTCAGCGTACCGCCTCATATGTCTCCTGGATGAGGCGGGCAAAGTCTTCGAACGAATCATTGCTGCCCGTCTCACGGAGCATATGGCCCAGGTAGGTCCAAGCCTATATGACGGCCAATATGGCTTCCGGGAGGTTAGATCCACCACGGATGCGATATCGCATCTCAGGACTTTCTCGGAGACCATACTACAGAAGGGCAGGATGTCTGTGGCTGTATCTATTGATATAGTAAATGCCTTTAACACCCTGCTCTGGGGTAGTGTGGTGAAAGCGATGACAGATTATTTCCGCTTCCCACACTACCTCGTGGCCGTCATCAGGGACTACTTCCGGGGTCGGCGTCTGACCTGGACAGACGCCGACGGTAGGACGTGTTAAAGGGGGAGCTGTGGGGTTCCACAGGGGTCCGTGTTGAGCCCCCTCCTGTGGAACCTCGCCTACGACGAAGTCCTCCAGATGGCCCTCCCCCCCGGCTACAGTATCATATGCTACGCTGATGATAATCTGGTACTGGCCGGGGGGAGAGACTGGAGAGATGCGATTACCAATGCAAACCTCGCGGTGCACTGCGTCGTGCGTTCCATCAACGAGGTGGGCCTGGCGGTGGCGTAGAGGAAGACAGAGGCTATATTCTTCCACCGGAAAAGTATGAAGCCACCCCAGGCTCACCTGCGGATAGGCAGGATGAGGGTCTCTATAGAGGCCCATATGGGATACTTGAGCCTCAGACTGGACGGCACCTGGTGCTTCAAGAAGCACTACAGCCGCCTGGCTACCCAATTAAAGGTCATCTCGGCCAACTTGGGCAAGTTGATGCCCAATATCGGGGGACCCGATATGAAGGCGCGTCGTCTCCACGCGAGCATAATCAACTCGGTCGCCGTATACGGGGCGCCCATCTAGGCAGAGACTCTGGCCGCCAGCCGTCAGTTGCAGGCCATTAGGCGCAAGGTACAGAGGACGGTGGCGGTCAGGGTCATAAGGGCGTACCGAACGGTGTCCCACGTGGCGGCGACGGCCTTGGCGGTCATGCCCCCTCTGGAGCTACTCGCGTTGATGTACAGATCCATGTACAGGAAGAAAGGGGAGCTCCGGAGGAACATCAGGTTTGGCGAATCGCTCGCCGAAGCGCTGAAGAAGACTAAGCACCAGGCTCGGCAGCTCCTCCTCCAACGCTGAGATAGATGCCTGAGAAATGCTAGGTATGGGAGGAGGAATGTCGAGGCCGTCCAGCCCTGCCTGACCGATTGGGTGGGCAGGGGCACAGGAACCCTGACATTCAGAGCGACACAGGTGCTCACAGGCCATGGTTGTTTTGGCGAATACCTGTGTCACATTGGCAGGGAGCGCACGGTGCAGTGCTACCACTGCGCGGCTGACCATGACTCCGCGCAACACACCCTACAAGACTGCCCAACCTGGGCGGTGGAGCGGGGTCATGGTCAGGGAGTTGGGTCCCGACCTCTCGCCCCCCAGCGTGGTTAACGCAATATTGGGGAGCGAGAGGAAATGGGACGGTTGTCTCACAGAAGGAGGAGGCGGAAGAAATCCGCCGTCAAGCGAAGGGAAGAGGGAGAGCGCAGCGAAGACGGCAACGCCTTCGCGCTGAGCGCCGCTCCCCCAATAGGGAAGGAGATATAGACTCCTCGGAGGAGGAGGCTGTAAGGGACATGGTAAGAATACCCCCCACCACCTCCCGCACCACGTCGTCCACGTCCTCCCCCCAATTATCCCGACCCAACCTCCCACCCCGTCCTTCACATCCTCCCCTTTCCCGATCCTTACCCCACCCACTGCCTCGCAAGAAGGCCCTTCCCACCCGCGTAATGGCAAAACGCGCTGACCGTGCTGACCGCAAGGCAAAACGCGGGGGAAAGTTGTCGGCGGAAAGAACAGCCTGTGACCAATAACAGGCTGAAGAAAGAAAGAGATAGGACAGACGGGGAACTGGCGCTCAGGCGTCTCCCCGTCGCCCCCTAAGACAGGGGTTGGATGAAGGTAAGGGGGGAGGTGAAATGAGATGACACAGGCATCAAAAATCACCTCCCCCCTCTGCCTCACAGGACATTTAAGTGGGTAGGAAAGGAGGGGTTATGACCCTCTCTTCAGCCTTTTTACAGGCACATGTGCCCGGCGGCTAGGGGACAATATTATTCCCCCCGTAACCGTCGGGCGGGAGGATGGGGCACCGGGCGGGGATTCCCGGTGTCCCAACTAGCCCTCCCAATGTAGGGTGGCTGGCTGATTCGGTGAGTCAGCTAGCCACGCAACGGTATCTTGGCGGCGCCCCGCCTGGCTGGGGACGGAGGTTGAAGCGCAGGCGTTGCCGGCTTCCCCCTTCCTAGCCATATAGGTGGTGCGTAAGGGGTGGAAGGAGAGCGGTGGTCGAAGAGGAGTTACGGCTCGCTTCCCCCCTCCCTCCCGCCCCTTGGGGAAAAGACGACAGTTTTTGTCAGGACTCGGGGCCCCGATAGCAGTTACATGGCTCCGGGGTCCCGAGGAAAGTCCCTTCGCAGCGCCACCCTGGGAGGTTTTAGCCGGTAGGAGTCCGGCATAACCCCCCACTCTTCCCCAAGGGTGGGGGGTATTCATGACGGATTTCCTCCTCGTTAAAAAAAATGATGGCAACCGTCCAAGGCAGAAACCTGATGCGCCAGGCGCTGAGGACGGTGGTCGTGAAGGCGATACGGGGGTTCCGCTCCATGTCGTACATAGCGGCAACGACCCTGACCGGCTCCCCCCTGTGGAGCTCCTAGCTGAAGACCGTAGTGTTCTCTATTGGAGAATACTCAATTAGAGAGCTCCGCGAGGGAGGTGAGGCGACGACGGCCAGGGAATTGGCGGTCCTGTAGTCCCAGGCGGTCGCCGGGACTCTCGAGCGATGAGCTGACGTTATGTTAGAGCCACGAGGGTTCGGGCGGCTGACAACAGAAGCAGTCCGCCCCTGCCTGGCGGAGATGCTGGGCAGGAGGGGACGCGGGCTAACATATAATCTGGTGCAGGAGATGTCCGGGCATGGATGCTTCGGGCAATCCCCCGTGGGCGCCACCTTGTCGTGGTGGGGGAGCTTGTGTGTCCCGATGAAGTACAGAGCTGTGCCGGCGGGGGTTTCGACCCCTGGCAGGTCCTACCATGCCGGAGTGATTTGTACAGAGGGACCAGACAAAGAGCGTCCATAATACTTCTGGATGGGCAGCTGCCTCTAGGTTTTAACCAGGGTCTGGAGGGTCTCACTCGTGGGACCCAAAGGACCCTACAGCGCGGGCAGAGCGGGCTCGTGAGCCGGGTGAAGACAACCGTTCTAGGGGAAGGAAAACCCTGATTGCAAACCCATACTTGTCAGGACGTATAACCTGACACAATTGCGAGGGGCCAGGGTGCTTCGGTACTCTGGTACAGGGGACTCAGGCAACCCCGGCAGACCTTAGCCTACTACACCGTAACCCTAGGTCATGTCTCTAGGGCCAGGGGTCTTGCCTTAATTGCCGGACCACGAGGCGGGTCCTCTATAAAATACCACGTAATCCTACGGTTGAGGCATGCCACGCTTTGGGATGAATGGCAGATGCGTAACCTGTCACTAGAGGTTCCTCACCTTGGGCACCTGGCGAACCCAAGGGACATGCTAGCCTTACCCCGGGTGATGCGGGGGCTCTACCCGGGGTCGACGGCCACTTTCCGCCGAACTCGTGGGACGAAAATGAGATCTCCACAAATTAAAAAACCAAATTTCTCCGAGTCTTCGGACTCAGAGTCCCGAAAAGGTGGGTGTAGCAACCCGCCTAAGGGCTCACCACCTGCTTCGACAGGTGATTTTTTGTCAGAGGAAGAGAGAGGAGGAAGAATGGGCAGAGATTTGCCGGCGGGTGCCATCTCCCCTCCCCCCGGGGAGAGAGAGCATATGGACCTCGGAGGAATAGCCTCCGGGAGACCATCTAATGAGGGTAGTCCATCCCCCTCAACGACCACTAGCGATAGTGGTCGGGACTATCGTCCTCACCGGAGGATTGATAGGGTGAGCTCTCCGCGGAGGATCACGAGAGCGGCCACCCAACGAGGGACAGGCACGTTCCTGGGGTCCGGGGTCGCTGAGGGCCAGGGGACGCCGGTACCAGGAGCCAACAAGCCCAGCCCCCTCTGCAAAAAGAAGATGCAGAGAGAGTCTGTTCCCAAAGATAATCAGGGGGCACATGGGGCCAACCGGTATGCGGGTACCGAGAAGAGGGAGGGGGTGTCGGTGGAGAGGATCGCGGGGCCGGTCGTAGTCACTGACATACACCTCTCTCAGGGGTCTAGATACCAGGTCCGAAGAGCAGGGGGGAAGGCGCTGCTGCAACCGACAGTGGTCACGGGGATGAAGAGGGGAAGGTCTTCCACCAGCGGAGGATCCACATCGGCGGTGGAGATCGTGGAGGGCCCGGACCCGGCCCTAATACCAGAGGGAAGAAAGAGGGGAAGAACAGCCACGACCGGTGAAGGGGTTGGGCTAAAGGAGAGAAAAGAAAAGGAGGCGAGGGAGAAAAGAGAGGAGCGCCTCAAGAAGTTGGAGAAGGAGGCATGGAGCCTTCTTGAAAAGGGGCTCTTCCACACGTTGGTGGACAAGCGCCCGGCTGAACAGGTGTTGAGAGATGCCACCTCTCTGAACCTCCTCAGAGGAGCGGGTGCAGCGGAGCCGATGAGGTGGGACGGGCCCTGGGGGCGGTGAAGTTGGTGGCAGTACGCTCGAGCACCCTCAACGGGACGTTCACTGGTTTACTTAACCAGACTACTGCCACCACTCGGGCAGCTATGGTGACTTTGATAGCCAGGACAGCAGCACAGGAGGGTGGAGGAGCAGAGAAGCCAGAGGTGATGAGGGAGATAGAGGAGCTTAGGGAGGGAATCAGGGCACTGCGGGCCGAAAATCTGAAGCTCCAGGAGGAGCTTCAGAAGACCAGGGCCCTGGCGGTCCCCACTCAGCCCCCTCTCCCAGAGCCGTCCAGGAGAAGGAGGACATATGCGGAGGTAACGAGTGGAGAGGCGTCCACTTCGGCGGAGGAGGGAATAAGAGAGGAGAGGGAAAGGAAGAAAAAGAGGAAGAGGAGGAGAATGGCAAGAATCATCTCCCCCTCTTCCTCCCATGGGGGAGAGGTGAGGAAGGGGGAGGTTCTTCCGGGGGTCTACCCCGTATATATGACGATAGACTCCCGGGGGAGACTCCCTCTCCGACATGGAGACCCGAGTCTGAGCAGGTACAGGAGGACCCGGATGCCTCAATGGCGACTATGGCCCGTGCATCCGGGGACGGGGTGAGGCGACTGATTGATCAGAAGCCTCACCTCGTCTACGGATGGGACGGGAGCCGGGTCGCGGAGGGGGCGGGGACCCCTGTGCCGACCCAGGTTCACAAAGGGAAGGAGAGGGAAGAGGACTGCGGAAAGAAAGAGGGTCAGGCCCAGGCCCAACAAACTCCGGCGGACCGAACGGGGAAGAAGGAGAGGGCCAAGGAGAAGAAGAAGAGGAAGAAGGCGAGGGCTAGGTTCCAGAAGGAGAGGGAGAAGGAGCTAGCCAAGGAAGGAGGACCAGGAATTCCGGCCAAACAATTAGAGGGGCTGGGAATCGAGGAGGGACTAAGATATGCACTTCAGGTAGAGGGAAAGAAGGAAGAGGTTTGGTCCCGAGTACTGGGGAGAAAAGAGAAAAAGAAAGAAAAGGAAGGGGGAAAGAAGACTCTCACTCCTCCCCCTACCATCCAGATTGGGGCAAAGAAAGGGAAGGAGGCGAGACCGGGTCAGCCGAAGCCGCCAAAGAGCGCGGCCGTCGCCATAACCTGCCCCCCCGATCGCTATCGGGAATTTATGGTAGAGGCCAGGCGCCGCATTATACCAGTGGATCTGGATGTTCAGGGTTCCCTGAGGGTAACTCAGGCCCTGAACGGGGACATGCTGATCGAGGTGCCTGGCCTCACCGCGGGGACAACCGCCGACCGGCTTGCGGAAGAGCTCCGCAAGCTGGCGGCGGAGAAAAGCCCCGGTTTTCGCATCCGCAGGCCGGTCAAAATCGCAGCGTTGCGACTGACCGGCCTCGATGCGACGACCGGGGCCGACAAGGCCACAGTGGCCCTTGCAGGGGGATGCACGCCGGAGGAAAGCGTCTCCCGGTGGGGAACAGGCAAGGTGGTGGCGCGGTGTTCGCTGGCG